ATATATATTTATATATATATATATATATATATATATATATATATATATATATACATATATAGATATATATATATATATATACATATATATATATATATATATATATATATATATATATATATATATATATATATATATATATATATATATATATATATATATATATATATATATATATATATATATATATATATATATATATATATATACATATATATATATATATATATATATATATATATATATATATATATATATATATATATATATATATATATATATATATATATATATATATACACATATATACATATATATATATATATATATATATATATATACACATATATATATATATATATATATATATATATATACACATATATACATATATATATATATATATATATATACATATATACATATATACATATATACATATATATATATATATATATATATATATATATATATATATATATATATATATATATATATATATATATATATATATATATATATATATATATATATATATATATGTATATATATATATATATATATATAGAACTATTTATTAGTAAAAACATATGAAAACCAAAATTTTTTATATAATATATATAGTATATATTTGATAAATAAAACTCTACAATTTCTTTGGTTCAAGAACTCGATAATGATTAATAACAACTCTGTAAACATGAATTTTCTAATAATTTAAATCTTAATAAATTATAACAATTAACTACTTATTTAAACAAATAATTACTTATTAAATTTTAAAAAGATTTTATATATACGTAATGTCTACTTAGAAATACTAAATGTCTATTTATACATTAAAAAGATCTACAATTTCGAAAACCTGAAACTTTAAATCTACCTCAAAACAAAAAGATATTTATTGAAAAGTATTTTTATTTCTTTTTAAAAATTTAAAAATGCTTTTTAACTTACTTCCTCCAATATTATTATATAATTTATAGTATATATTGATAAATAAACCTCTACAATTTCCTTGGTTTAACAACTTTTTAAATCTTGGTTTAAAAAAATTTCTTATAAATACATATTTAGATACCTTAAAATGAAGCATAACACAACACTCTTTTGACAAATTTTAGAAGAAATTTTTTTTATTTTTCTATTCTCAATTATTTTTGCTAAGAGAAAATACATATAGATATACATATATATATATACATAGCAAACTAACAATTATTTAAATTTTTATTTAAAAAAAAAACACAACATTAATTCTTCTTGAAAATAGATGTATCAGCTCCAATTTGATTGCTGATTTTACTCGAATGACCGCGTGGAATATATAACTGCGCTTAGAAAATTCTAGAGGCAAAGAAATAATGTATTTTACATAATGCAGAACCGTATTTAACAAAACGAACAATAGGCGTAACAAGGCGTAACTATGCGCACAAATAATATTCATAGGCTATTCATTTTAGGCGGATAGTCCTCGAAGATACAATATTATTTATTTTTTTTGTGTGAATATTTTTTTGTTATTTTGATTTTTCTTGAGTTTTATTAAAAAAAAAACTCATCTTAGGAAACTGGTTTCCTAAGATGAGATGATAGGGTCTGTTGAAAGTAAATCAACTTTTGGTATAAAGATTTTTTTTAAACGAATTATTCATTTAAATTCTTTAAGAGGAAAAAATAAGTTATGATAATCTGCAAAAACAAATATAATTTTTTGGCTGCAAAAAAACAATAGACTGTTAACATGCTCAACATACGCAACCTTCCCTTAATTTCACTATTAACATGCATCGACACATTCAAGGTGAAAATCCCTTTTACCTCGTTTGTGTTCCGTCAACTTTTCTAGATATAAAAATCATTCCTAAGATTATCGTATCTAATTCGAAGACATCTGGGAGACGAACAACATCACGCTAAATTATTGTTGTTTTTCTCTCCCAGACAGAATATTTTTCATACATATGACCAGCCCATTAGAACGTTATATATTCATTTTGCAAATTTTAGTTTGCAAAAGGAATATGTAACGACATTTCTATAATTTCTCTCTATAATTCTAACAACAATTTTCTTGGTTTTTAATAATTCTACAAATTGTGAAAAATATTTACAAATTCAAAACGTGGACATATATATAGAAATCCCAATCAGTGACGGATCAAATTTTTTTGGTGTACTGAGCTAACTCCAAACATTTTTACGTTTATACTAATGTCAAATAATGATGCTTTGCAAAAAACTGCGATGATTGGAGGCTGGGAGCAAAAAACCCTTTTAACTTCATTCCCAACCCATAAAACGTGAAAGGCAACAAGTTAATAAAATATTTTTAAATTAGGGAGTAAAAGTCCTATCCCCAATTTAACCTGAGCCCATAATTTTGTTAAACCAAGTGTATTAGCTGTGGTAGGTTTAAAACTTTTTTTAGGATGAAATAAATTTTGAGGTTAAAGAAATATATAATATCCTCAAAATTAGTTCAATTTGAGACAATTCTCTGTATGTATTCCTAATTTTTATCTAATATATTCTAATGAACAAAACAAAAAAGGTAAAATGTTTTTCCTCGCCGCTTTAAGTTAAATAAAAAATCAATAGCTCGTTAAGTTTAATGAAAATCGTGATATTATGGCTACTTATTTTAACTGCAGTTATATTATGGTGACAACATAAATTTTTCGCTAACCATATTGTAAACCACTTAAATACGTTAATGGTTCATTAGTATACCATAGTAGTTCCGATCGTTTCAAGAATGGCCATGTTAAATAAATAACATACATAATTTAACAATTTTCCAATACATTTATGACTGATCTGCTTTTAGCATAAGTTTTACTCATGTTCTGTTTTAAATGGGTGTGTTTCTATCAGCTTAATAAAATATTAAAAAGATCTCTACCATAGTGTCAAATATTAGATTTTTTTCAACCAGTACTAAAATTCACTTCAGCTAAAATCAATCTTATTCTTAAGTAAAAATGAGCGAACCATAACATTTTTGTGTCCTGTTTTAATATATTTTAAAAACTGCCAAAAATGAATATAGATCAATTTTTTTTTTTTTTTTCATATTGGGAGTATGTATTAAAATAAAGTGGAGTAGTTATTAAAATGTGATAGTGGTGTAGTGGAAGAGCGTTCGCTTCATAAGCGAAAAGTTCCAAGTTCAATTCTCAACATGTCCTTCGTAGTACCGCACTCAACTTGTTTCATTGTTCAGCGGCCTTGTTTGCCAAGGTTCATGTTTAAAAGTAAAAGAGTTGACAGAGGATTGTAACCAGAAAAATTAACCTCCTTGCTATAGTGGCCCTCTTGGCCTTTTGGAGGCGAATAACATTTAAAGATAAGTAAAGTGGAGAAGGTATTAACATAATGGTTAAAAGTATTGATGTGCTCATGTAAAATGGCTGTTTTAAATTTTACTTAAATTTATTAAATAAAAATTTTGTATTCAAAAAACTTAATTACGTGCTTAAAGGTGGTAGGGGTGCAAATAGACTACTTTCTGAAATTTGTCATTGTAACTTTATTTAGTTTTATAAAACTGTTAAAGACGTTAAAAGAAATAGTTTGCATAAAATTTTTTATTTATTTTTTAAACATAAAATCCATAATTGCGGAAAATGTGTTAATTTTGACCTTTAAAAATGATGTTTTTGAAACATGATATCTTGATAAAATAAAATAAAAATTGAAAATCTTTTTGCACATATTTATATTATTATATTATACTCCGGATGACTCTTAGAATTTGCATAAATCATTTTACGAATTTTTTTAGGAATTAAAGTTTTTGTAAAAATACTACTTTTTCTAACAAATGTAGATACAAATTTGCACCTAACCTGAATTTTTATATGATATTAGAAGTTTTGTGTAAAATCCAAGGGTCATCCGGAGTATTAGATTATATCAAACACAAGTTCAAAATTTCAACTTATCATGTTTGAGTTATAGCTAGTATGCAAAAAATTAAAAACAGAGAAAATACAAAACAAAATTAAAATGTTTAAAAAATAAGTTATCTCTTTAGTACGAACCAGTTTGATATAAATCTTACTGATTCTTTTTCACCCATTTTTATTGAAAAATCTTTTTTTTTTCTGGCTCGAAATCCTTTTCTACGCTTTTTTCTCAGCGTTTATGAACTTTTTATTCATTTGCTTAATGCGTGAATTAACTAACTTTTTTCCCCAGCCTTTGAAAATTTTGCTTTTAAGTTAAAGTGTTCTAAAACCTTTAGTATTCCTTTCCGCCCATCATTAAGATAAATAATAGCTAAATGTACACCCATTTCTATGGTTTTCCTGCCAACAAATTCAGTTTTTGGTAAATTTTTGTAAATAATACAAATTATAAAATTTTCAACAGTACTGTTACAACTTTTCAGCTTATTTATGTCTAAGTTATGATTGTGATTTCCAATTATAATATTTTCTAAAAACATATAGCAGATACACCTTAGTATATGTTAAGAGTAAAATAAGGCATTTTATGAGAGGAAAATAAAGATTAAACTTCTGTTCATGGTAACTAGGGACGTTGCTATGGGCTCTGATGCTACTAAGAGCGTTTTAAGATGTAAATATGGACCAAGAAATATTTTTTATTGTTTCCAATATTAATTGCATGAAAGACATTAAAGGGTAAAATTCCACATTAAAAAAAAATTCTCAAATATTTTTTTTTTTTTGATCATTTATCCTATTAAATGATTTTCATGATATTAATTACTCGAAAAATCTTTTGTCTGAAGTTTTACGACATTTCATTGATTTTTTTGGCTTAAGACTTGCTTTTTTAGGCTTAAGACTTGCTTTTTTTAAATTCAGTCAACTGTGTTGTTCTTTAAAAGCAACTTTTAATACCTGTTTAATAAAATAAACCAATGTATACTTTGTTGTGCTTGTTTTAAGTTCTGTTAAATAAAACAAACACAAAAATATTATCGTAAAAATAATCCTTGTATTTAATTTTTTTTTTGTTTTTAGTATTCTGCGACGCTTGAAGCTTGTTTTAATGAGTGGTTCAAACCAGAATTTTTACACAATGTGGATTGCCAGGTTTGCTCAGAGAAAAATAAAAAAAACACAAAGACTATATTTTCAAAACAAATCTCGTTTGCTAAGGTTTGTATTTTGTTAGTTACTAAAATATTAACAATTTTATTCGTTTCAAACATTAAAAATTTGTACGTGGAAAAAGTAAAACGCTACCTAAAGAATATTATCTATAGAGTAAATAAACTTATGAACTTCTATGAACAAAAACGCTTTTCTAATTTAATTTAGCTTCCAGAATGTCTATGCATACAGCTTCAACGTAGTTCTTACAATTCAAGTGGATATTTACAAAAGTGCGACATGTTTATCAATTTTCCAGAGGTGTTAGATTTGTTTCAATACACATACATTGCATCAAAAACTAGTAAAAACGCAACGAACACAATTTGCTTACCGCCAGCATCACGGTAAATTCAATACATGATATATTGGTTTTATTAATATATACAGTTGTTAATTTTTAAGTCAATATCAAAGGGTTTTATTCTTGTTTATGATGATAACATATTTAGAAATCAATCAACAATTTACAAGTTATCATCTTTGGTGACGCATTATGGTAATACCAATCAAGGTCATTTTGCAACATTCAGACGTCTTTCTGACAAGCGTTGGGTATATATTTCAGATCAAAGTGTTATTGTGAAATCAGTTTCTGACGTTTTTAGTTCTGATGCTTATATGTTGTTTTACGAAAAAATTTCTAAATGATTTTAATTTCTATTATACTTTATTATTATTGCCAACAAATGAAAATGGAAATTGCAAACCAAATGCAAGCAAAAAGATTTATACATTTTTTTATATTTTAAATTATCTGGTTAGATGAATATCACCAACCTAATCTTTTCATTTATTGAATAAGTGTAAATGATATTTATATATCTATTATAATTACTTTTTGAGTTTTGGTCTGTGTTTAATTTTTTTTCTCGTTTTTTTTTTTCGTTTAAGGATTCATTACTTGGCAAAACAAAACTAAAAAAAAAAAAAGGGAAGGGGGTTCATACGTAAATAACAGAAAAATTTTTTACTGCAATGCACAGTGGGCCGATTATTAGACATTGTGGACAAAATTATTTTGATCTTTTTTTTATTTTTTATCAAAACCCTTGTCCAAAATCCAAAAATGTCCTAAGAATCACTTTGTGTTAAGATATTTTTACTTTGATTTTAATTAAATAGTTGCTAATTCTAAAAATTATTTAACAAACTTTATTAAACTTTAAAAATGCGGATTTGCAATTTTTTAATTTCAAATCTTATAACTTTTTAAAATCGTTGAACTGAATAACACACTCTTCAGGTGGAATAAACTTAAAAAAATTAATGCAACAAACTTTAAAAATAAAAATTTGCACTTTGAAAAAAATGAAAATTTATCACTAGACTTGAAACTCTATTATCGATATTATATAATATATTTGAAATATGTAAATAAATATAAATATAAAGAAAATATAAATGAACATATAGACTTGAAACTCAGTTATTTGTATTATTATATGCGTACGACATTTTGAATAAGTCTGTAGATTAATAATCACCTATTTATATAAAAATATATTTTTCTTTTTTTTTTAATCTATTGGACGCACATTCTGGATGAATAATATTACAATAGTTTTATTATTATAAAGTCTACTGAGTTTTAGAGTTACTATGCAAATAATCATTTGTAAAAATGTTTTATATTAATTTGCATTTTAAATTACCTGTTCGTAAAAACTATATCCTGTAGTACCATCAAAACCATCCTTGCATCTAAATGTTAGTTTAGTTAATTCCTTAGCATTGTGATTAGCACAGTAGTTTGTGAAACATAACATTTTAAGAGTGTGTTTAAAGATCTTATAGCTGTATTTGTACTGAAATATCTATTTAAATGTTCTTAGGATAGTATTTAGCTTTTGAAGATCCTATACCATTTTATAAAGGATGTATGTGGCAACCATTTTTTCAGCACCATTTCTTAGAAGCTGGTATGTTGATTTTGGTATAACACCATTAATAATGAATTTTGAAACTTCATCAGATGAATATATCTAAGCAGGTTTAATGGTGTTTTCTATTTAATTAACAGAAATATTTGTGCTTAAACTCACTTAGATTCATTTTTGTTGCATAAATTTAGTTTATGGGCTAAATAAAATATTAAAAACCTTGTCAAGCTTATTCTTTTTGTTTGGTTGCAAGCTTTTTCAAAAGAGCAACATGGTTTCCCAACTTCATTAACTAATGATGTAACATTTAATGTACTGTAGGTGTATTGAAAATCTTGAATCAGCCAATTTTTATTGCTCCTTTCAAAATGAGAATTATGATTGTTTGCAGCTTTAAACTTTTTACATTGTAAATTTATAAAGTTTTTCATTCAAAACCCTCTAAATTAGTATCTGCAGAAACTAGAACAGTTAATTTCTATGAAAAAAACGGTATACCATTAGGAACTACCCAGCCGGCACAAAGACGTCTATTAGACGTCTAACGATAACTTAAGTCAGCGTCTCAAGTACGTCTTAAGACGTCTACCTGTTAACACATTTTAGACGTACTGTGTTAGACGTCTATAAGAGGTAAAGTATTAGGTGTCTCTAAGACGTCTGATTGAAAACTCGCCTGAGCGTCTAAAGAACGTCTTGAGACGTCTATTTGTTAACACTTTTAAGACGTCTAATAGACGCTCACTCAATATATTCGGAACTCAAATTATACTTAAAGTTATAGTTTATTGTATTTGAGTTATTTTTATACGTTTAAGATAATTCATAACCAAAACATAAAAGCGATTATATATCTTCAATAAAACATTAAACAAATTTGTGTATACAACTGTCATTTTTATACAGCTCTATTTTTTGCTCGTGCAGGGGCATTTCTAAGTAGGTTCTGAATAGCTTAACAAAACTCATTTTTCGTTATTTTCGGAAACTTAAACGTCACTATTTTACATACTGTTTTGTAATTCTCGGTTAACCTAAAAGCTAACTTATTTCGACTTTCGGTATCCTTTGTTTCACGCATGGCAAATCTTTTCATTATGTACTTAATCGTATCTTTGTAATCAATTCTTTTAGTTTTACAGTCTAAGAAGTAAAAGTCACATTAAACTAAAAGTATCTAAGAGCCTTAACACACACCCATATAAAGTTATATAAAATAAACTAAGTATAAGCAAACACCATTATTTGATACAAATAATAATACGAGCATAATAACTAATCTTACTTTTTGTTTAAGTAATGAATCCATTTTCATATTTTCTTCAAACAGGATAAACTTCTCTTTCCGTTTTATACATTGTCATTGTCAAATAAAGATACTGGAGGTTGTTGAGAATTATAAGCTGTTGGTAAAGACAAATTGTTGGATATATCGCTCATCCATTTAACAACTTTTTTGGAATGCCTACTGCTTTGAGCAGCCGTGGCGCAGTGGTAGCGCACTTGCCTCAGAAACGTAAGATCCGCGGTTCAAACCCACCTCTGGGCATGTTTTGCGACATCGGTTGGGAAGGAGGCGTGAACTTCCTATTAAGTGCTCTTCCGCGGTGCTCTGTGATAAGACCGTAAGGACTTCTTGGGGCACCTAAATCAACATAAAAAAAAAAAAAAAAAAAAAAAAAAAAAAAATAATTTTATCAATTTCTCTCGCAATAAATAAATTTAATAAAACATAAAATAAATCAACTTTCTAATTCAATTGATGTTTAACATTTTAAAATAATTGAATAACACAAACTTACTAGCATTTGATATATATAAATTTTTTTTTGTTAATTTTTTAGGTGCCCCAAGAAGTCCTTGCGGTCTTATCACAGAGCACCGCGGAAGAGCATTTAATAGGAAGTTCACGCCTCCTTCCCAACCGATGTCGCAAAACTTGCCCAGAGGTGGGGTTTGAACCACGGATCTTAGGTTTCTGAGGCAAGTGCGCTACCACTGCGCTACGGCTGCTCGAATATTGGATATGTTATGCTCGAAACTTAACTCATCCAAAGGAAATAATTCTGCTGAAATGGAAAAAATTTAAAAGGTTTTCTCTGTCTTTTTCTAAAAATAATTTAAACTTCCTATATCTATGTAGTCTAAGTCTATGTATATCTATGTAATCTATGAGTCAATTTAGAAATTAGTATTACATTTAATAATTAAATAATTACCACTTATGATAGCACTTTTTTGTTTTGAAACCTTTTTAAAATTAGAGATTCCAATGTTGAGTCACCACAATCATCAATATCACTTATTGAACATGTTTTTCGCTTTCGGTGTGAAGTATTATTATTTCCTAAGCGCTTAAAATTTGTATCATCATGAAACACCGGTAAATCAATTCCAACTTCTTGAAACTTAATCTCATTGATATTTTTTCTTTCTCCTTTATTTCTTCATCCTGACTTGTGTACTCACATGTCATGCAATCAGTTTTATCCTCTACAAAATATTTATAAACTATTAAATTAATACAACTTTAAATCGTATTACACACCATAACATGTGTAATACATGTTCAAGGTTTAAACATGTTATGCAGGACAAGATTATCTACAGTGCAGATGTGGCATTTGCTATGGCCCAGGAGGAGAAAAAAAAGGGGGCTGTAACATCTGATCTCTGAACATAAAAAACCTTTGAATCTTAAAGACAAAAAACGATTGTTTTAAACCTACTAAAAAACATATTTAAAACTAAAAAAAATTAACAAATTAAATAGATTTACAGTTTTGTCTAATTAATTCTCCATAAAATTAAGATTGTGTTTTGCCCCAAGCCTACAAAACAGCTAAGCTGGCCTTTATCTTATGATGCAATGTTTGAATTAGAAAGTAAAAATTAAATTAATAAATTTAAGTAACTAACCATGTGTCAACTTTATTTTTAAAATTGCAAATGATTATCAAAGCCAATTATCACTAGGTGGGATTCTTTTGTTCGTAGCTTTTTTTCCGGGAAATCCTTTTGGTGGCCAACGCAATACACCAGCCTTAATCCAACTATGAGGAACAACATCTTCAATGACTCCAGAGTTTTCTTTCCACACACAGAGTGACCACATTTTAATATTCAAAAATTTGATAAATGAGAAAACCTATGAGAAATAACAAATTTAAATTTTGATAAAAATATAAAAATAAGAAAACAAAGACAAATAAGACAAATAAAAAAAATTAAATAAGATATAGGTTAGTAATATTATTAAAATAATATTACTAACCTATAATATTACTAAATAATATTATTAAAATAATATTACTAACTATCAATTGATAAATGTAAATACCTAATAATAATAATAAACAATTATATTCTGGGATGTAAATTATAGGGTTCCACAGAATTTAAAATAGACACTCAAGTTGACAATAATAATAAATTCCTTGGAATCAATAATAATAGATTCGAAAGTATTTATAATAATAATAACAACAATAATAAGAAGAAGATGAATAGAAAGAAATAACATTTATTTTTATTTATTCTGTTTTATTTATTATTTTACAATAAATAAAAACAGAAAAGAAAAATAAGACTTACTTTAAAGCAAAACGTTTCTCAACATATGAGTTATTTAAAAACTCTCATTTTATACAAGAAAAAATAAAGAAGTAAAAAAACAATTAAAAAAATTTAGGTTGCAATAAAGCAATTCCAGAAGTTTAAATAATTAAAGTACTATTTAAGTATTTCCAAACATCACATTCATAATTTTGACAC